CATATATGGACAACACAAAGTAAGACACGTGACAACAAACACTTACAAGGACAGTACAGGTAGACGGAACAGTGGCCGCACGCAACACAGTATTACATAACAGTACAACGAACGCAGCGCAACAATTCAATTAATTAAAATATTGTTAAACAGTGTCACTAATTAAAACATCAATGTTTGCACATTGTTACATCCTCCCCTTACTTGAAATATGACGTCCTCGTCATGCACAAAACATGTCCTACATGATACAAGCATAACCACATGGTATGCTAGTTAGAACTTACATATTCGAGTTACAAAATACAATGCAAATTATTTCAAATGATAATACCATATTACAATGTCCTCACAATCATAAATATATCAAACAACATTTGAGTGAAAACTCACACTATTCCTAAAATACTGCTGACCAGAACTTGAGCTACATCCGGTGGCACCCCTGTTAAGACACCTTGCCGTGCTAGCATCTCCAACAACGCCATCCGAGAACTCCAAGTCGTGATATCCTGCGGCGACGATACCTGTTGCCTAAAGACATAATCTCCTGATCTTTGCCAAGCCGGCTGTACCCGTTGTCTGGTGCGTCGTCTAGGACCATCAGCAACCGTCTCGACTTCCGGACCCTGTTGTTCTCCCACTCCTAAAGGACAGTCTCCCCCGGAGAGCTGGTCGTCACCAGAAGAACTAACAACATCAACCTCCTCAGCAACGCCGTGATCGTCATCCGGGTTCTGAGGGGGGATCACCTCCACAGGCTCATCAGAAGGTGTTGTTCCCTCCGAGCTCTGCGAATCATCTCCTCCGGTACGGGTATATTGGTATATATAGCAGTCATTGTCGTCTGTGTCGTCCTCATTCGATACATCTAACTCCTTAGGATCATTCTTCGGTAACACCAATTTCGATTTGCGCTTCGCCGGGATGGGCCGATCCGCCGAAATGGGTTTCTCTAGTAATGAACCTATGGGAAGGAGGTTGTTACGGTGGAGTGTTCGCTTCCTTCCTTCCCCGGACTCTGCTTGAACTATATAAACAGGAATATCCTTGTTTGGCTGATCCAGCACTATGTACACTTCCTTTTCCCACATGTCCGATAGCTTGTGCTTCCCTTCGAATGCTAAAATCTTCACCAACACTCTATCATTTACCTGTATTGTAGCACCTCTCCGCTTCCTGTCATACTGCACTGTCTGCCTGTCTTTAGCCTTATGTGCTAGGGATGACGCTAAATGGTACGAATCCTTCAATCTGATCTTAAGGTGATTGACATACTCCGAGAGTGATGATGTGGAATTCCTGTCTCTGCCTATCCCAAATGCTATGTCAACCGGTAAACGTGGCTCCCTACCAAACATTAATTGGAATGGTGAAAATCCGGTTGAGTCATTGCGGGTGCAGTTATATGCATGTACCAATGAAGAAATATGGCGTGTCCATTCAGGTTTCTCTTTTTCCTCCAGTGTCCGCAACATGTTCAACAATGTACGGTTGAACCTTTCGGTAGTACCGTTACCCATGGGATGGTATGGTGTCGTCCTGGACCTCTCCATTCCAAGAACTGAACATAGCTCCTTCATCAAATCACTTTCGAAATTCGCTCCCTGATCAGTTAAAAAGTGCTTCAGCCGTTGTTTTCGCCGTTTGATTCCGAGTTGGGATAGCTTGAGCGTATCAAGTAAAATGGTCCGTTATGACAAGAATGTTACCTATACCTCCTTTTGATGGCTCCAGTGTCAAATAATCGAGACACATCATTTCCATAGGCTGCGATGTGTGAATGCCGACAAGTGGCGCTCTAATATTTGCTGGTGACTTCGCTCGCAAACACCTAGGGCACTTCCGTATCTATTCCTCCACATCTCTTGTCCTTAGGATCATTCTTCGGTAACACCAATTTCGATTTGCGCTTCGCCGGGATGGGCCGATCCGCCGAAATGGGTTTCTCTAGTAATGAACCTATGGGAAGGAGGTTGTTACGGTGGAGTGTTCGCTTCCTTCCTTCCCCGGACTCTGCTTGAACTATATAAACAGGAATATCCTTGTTTGGCTGATCCAGCACTATGTACACTTCCTTTTCCCACATGTCCGATAGCTTGTGCTTCCCTTCGAATGCTAAAATCTTCACCAACACTCTATCATTTACCTGTATTGTAGCACCTCTCCGCTTCCTGTCATACTGCACTGTCTGCCTGTCTTTAGCCTTATGTGCTAGGGATGACGCTAAATGGTACGAATCCTTCAATCTGATCTTAAGGTGATTGACATACTCCGAGAGTGATGATGTGGAATTCCTGTCTCTGCCTATCCCAAATGCTATGTCAACCGGTAAACGTGGCTCCCTACCAAACATTAATTGGAATGGTGAAAATCCGGTTGAGTCATTGCGGGTGCAGTTATATGCATGTACCAATGAAGAAATATGGCGTGTCCATTCAGGTTTCTCTTTTTCCTCCAGTGTCCGCAACATGTTCAACAATGTACGGTTGAACCTTTCGGTAGTACCGTTACCCATGGGATGGTATGGTGTCGTCCTGGACCTCTCCATTCCAAGAACTGAACATAGCTCCTTCATCAAATCACTTTCGAAATTCGCTCCCTGATCAGTATGTAGCTTCTGTGGAATACCATAATGCACAATAAAGTTGTTAAAAAGTGCTTCAGCCGTTGTTTTCGCCGTTTGATTCCGAGTTGGGATAGCTTGAGCGTATCAAGTAAAATGGTCCGTTATGACAAGAATGTTACCTATACCTCCTTTTGATGGCTCCAGTGTCAAATAATCGAGACACAACATTTCCATAGGCTGCGATGTGTGAATGCCGACAAGTGGCGCTCTAATATTTGCTGGTGACTTCGCTCGCAAACACCTAGGGCACTTCCGTATCTATTCCTCCACATCTCTTGTCATACTGGGCCAGTACAACCTTTCCTTGCACAAGGATAAAACCCTATCCCGGCCAGGGTGTCCTATGTCATCATGCAAGCCTTTCAGAGCTCCTTGGATATATGATGAGGGTAAAACAAGTTGTTCCCGCTTGTCTTCATCAATGATGACTTCCCGGTACAACACACCACGCTTGAGTCGCAATCTGTCAAAATTTCGGTACATCATGGTATGGTCACGAGTCATAGGCAAACTTTGTCGTTTGGGTCGAACACGTTTCACGACTGCTTCCATCCATGGTTTCAATACAGAGTCTTCAGCTTGTGCTCTCCAAGCTGTGGCAATCTAGATAGCGCATCAGCATCTGTGTTCGATTTCCCAGGCCAGTATCGTATATCAAAATCAAATGCTGCTAATGCCGCCAGCCATCGATGACTGGTCGCGTCTAACTTAGCCGAGGTCAACACGTAAGTCAATGGATTATTATCCGTCAACACTGTGAATTCGCTCATATAGAGATAGTCCTTGAATTTCTCTGTAATAGCCCACTTAAGTGACAAAAACTCCAGTTTGTGTGCTGGATAGTTCCTTTCAGATTTGCTGAGTGAGCGACTAGCATAACTGATGACTCTGAGCTTGTCGTCCTGTCGCTGATATAAGACAGCACCCAATCCCTTTCCACAGGCATCTGTATGAAGCTCAAACGGCAATCTATACTGAGCATAGCCAAGTACAGGTGGTGAAGTAAGTCGATCCATCAACTTATGTAAATTGTCTTGTGAAATTTACAAGCTGTCGGGGAATTATCGGTTAAAGTAGTGGAAGAGAAAAGTAGAACTTAAAGGATAAAGAGAGAAGAAAAATGGAAGTTAGAGTAGATAATCAAAAAAGAGTAAAAATGATTAACATAGATACAGAATTTAATGTACGATTAAGATACGCAGAAAGCTGTATATCATTGACGTCCACTTAAATATTCATGTCACTAAGTTCATTTTAGAAAAGGGAGTGGTCAGTTGTACGTGTATGTATGGTCAAAGTCTAGGCTATCATTAAGTCATAGTTAATAACACATGTCATAGTGTTTTCCAAGAAGTATTGAAGACTTAAGGAAGGTTAGATAAGGATGTTTAACATAAAATTTTTATTTCATGCAAAATATTATTTAAATGAAATAAATACTTTTCATAAATAAAGATCTCATCTCATAGTAAGTAAACTTGAAATACTAGTCTAGTGGGACATTTTTTTCCTACTTTTGCAGATGAAATAAAAAGTTGCAAAGTATATATAAATATCTTGAAACTAAGATTATAAACAAGGAATACAACAGTTTATTTCATGAATTCACTGAAAAATAAATTCCTTTTTTGTTTAAAGCATTTTGCTTATCTGTGAATGATTGAACCACAAAAAACAACATTTACAAGCTTAAGTAGAGAACTGCGAATAGTAAGGCTCTTACTAACTAGAAAATTATTATTGTATTCGTTTAAACGAGGAAGTTCTTGAAACGATCCTCTTAAGAATTCAGCGATACTTGAATCGTGAGATATTTATGCAGCGATCATAAATTTTAAGAATTCGTGGCAATACTTGTGATTGTTCTTGCCTCTACGTGTTGTTTACTTGTACCCCTGATATCACTTTTCACAAATACTCTTAAGTACTCTTAACCAAGATATTCATTTCGATGATGATTAGTTATCACGATTTCTGAAATATTCCCAATTCAAACCTTAAAAAATTATTTTTGAACCAGGTTTTGCTCCCAAGAAGATGAAAGATTTCCTTCCTGAGGATGAATGGTTGATGGATCGAGTTTGATATTTCCAGTGATTTTTGTAGAATAATGCATAGTAAACTTAATTGTTTTTCTACTCCACTATCCTGAGTAACAATTAATATGACGACGACTTTCTAGAACTACAATTGAACTTTAACCGTTAAATTCTGGTGCTGTAAATTTTGTTCCTGTGTTTTTAGAAATCAATCTTTTCTTTGATTCCGAAGGTACTGTTAATTCATGAATTCATCTGTTCACCTAATGAGAAACAATTAGATATTGACATTAATCTTCAACACAAGAGATCTTTACTAGTGTCATTTATTCATGAGGTAAAGTACATACCAAACAGATAAATGTTTGGAAAAAAAACCCCAAAACATCAAAGGATCTCTTTCAGGAACAATGGAATTTTGTCCAAAATCAAGCCTCTTTTGATCTCATACTACACTTTAATCACCGTTTATCATTTCCGTCTTATTTCGGAGAGATTATCTTTCACGAATTTGTTTCGATAGCGAAATTAGCGAAATCAAATTGCTCGCGAAAAGAAAAGGTTTTCCACTATCACATTTCGAGCATACAACAGACAAAAGACAAGAAGAAAGGGAGTTTCGATAAAGTCACACATTTTTCATCGAAACCATCATAATCTTTAAGTTTGTTTTCACCCTCCAAACGTAATGATTGTATGTGTAAGACCTGTATTGTTAAACGGTTGAATAAAAGGATTTTGAAACTTATCTAAATACTGCTCCATATTAACTTGTATTTCTTAACAAATTTTGACAGATATTAACAAACGGGTTTTAAAACTGGACTATCACCTCGGGTTATGTTGTGTTTTACTCATCGACATTTACTTTCAAATGATATTTTCTCGTGGGGCTCAAATTTCGTGACTTTAGAAAGATATACGATTTCGTTGGCACTTGATTTCGTGGATATACACTGTTAGCAAAATCCACTAGTCCTACATGTCAACCTTTATCCGTCTATCATTTTGTTGACATGAACATTCATTGATTTAGATTACCCACGAATTCAACGAAAATAAACCCACCACGAAAATAATGATTTTACGGTATTATATATTCGTTGTGTTTTATTAAGGCAAGTGTCCATAGTGAACAGGTCACAATATCACTGTACGACAACTTTTGGACACGTATTTGCTTCCAGGAAAGACATTTTACCTTTCATCGATCTAAGAGCAAATCTTCCTTCCAGCAAAATCCAATCGCCTGGGTTTCGTTATTTTTTTCCCCAAAATTCCCGCACACTCCCGAGTACTATGGGGATATAAGAATAGATCAGGTGATTCGAAGTATTAGTCCTCATGGTGTTCGCCGTAACCAGGATATTATGTATAATTCATTCGAATAGTAGCAAGGCTCAGAATATATAAGAATATACACACTTTATTGACGTTTCAATATTTTTTACTGACCTTCGAAAACTCCCAACAATATTTATTGCCATAACACGATTAAATCAGTGAGAGTAGCGATTGGTCAATATTCAAAATGAAATTTGTTTGTCTTCCTGGTAAAAATTAGTATAAAAGCACAATGTTCCGTTATATTTCAAACGGCACCTAGAAGGAGAAGGAAGATCGCGATTAAGGTACAGTAACAACAACATTTCAACTACTTTCCGTTTGTTTGTACACATCTGTCTACCTTTGTAAATCTATATTGTAATTTTTAGCATATCGACCGAAAACGGTCCACGCATATTAGATAATTTTAACTTGTAAAGTTTAGCACAGGTAATATCATTTAATTAATCTAAGTTTAGTACAGGTAATATGATTTAAATAATCTAAGTTAAGTACAGGTAATATCATTTAATTAATCTAGATTGACCATCACCGTCATGTATCAGTTGGTCGTTGTAATCGTGAGCATTCTGGCCGGAGTAGGCCAAGCAACACCTGAAGATATCGGAAACGTCACGTTGGTAAGTACATGTAATCCAATGTTTGTGTAGCAAGAGATCCTTTCCGTTTCTGCTGCTCGACAAAATGTTTCAAATAATTTACAAGAATATCTTATTCTGCTGTTGCATTTTCATGTTTGTTTGTGCAATATGATCGTTATAAAAAGGGAATACATTTCATATTTAGGATCTACGAGAGGCTTATCTAGAATTATGTGACATTAAAAGTAGGTTGGATTACAACCACTCGTTTTGTATCGTGTATTTTCATTTAATAGTTGTGAAAATAAGATTATAAACTTACATAAGTTTAAGATTTGAACGGTCTCCAAATAATTTTTTTTGAGTTGCACAAAAGACGCCCAAGTGAACAGCAATTTTTAATACAAATTTAGAAAATTGAACTGCATCAAACAGCTTTTTCGTTTTTCTGAACTTGTCAGTGATGCTAAGGGCCTAAATTTTGCAGCCTAGGAGACGACGGAAGAAAATCCAAGGTGATCAAAAGAAATGTCAATGTGATACATGTGTATATTCTGAACCGTGCCAATATCTAAATGAATTAACACGTGGTTTGCAAATCTCAGGTACTAATTGTCCGCCAGCAGGGTCTAACTTGCAATCTGGACGATTGTACTAAAACACACACTTCAGGATAGCGTTGTTAATACAAATTTGTATAAGATACAGCACAGTCAAGCAATGGACACGTTTTCAAAATGTAAGAAAACAAAATGTAAGTAATGTGATTAAACAACCAGAAAAAGAGAGAAATTCAAGAAATTATTTGACGTTTTGGCTTGCTTTTAAGTAACATTTTGTTTTTCTATTTCTTCAGTTTATATCACGTAATATCAGCACCGTTGAGGGCGATATCTACGCGGTCAACATCGAGACGGATATGGCGGAAGGAAGGGAAATTGTTCACTCAACCATGAATGGAAACGATTCACAGACGGTGATTACAGACCATAGACTAGTGAGTGATATTTAACTTTAACATATATCTGATGAAGCGATTTATTTGTCCCGCGTTTATCACTTGTCGTAGTATGTTTGTCTGCATTTTTAATGCTGTACGTTAAATTGCATTCACTTGTGAACTGAATAAGATAGAGGATTATTTGATTGTTCCTATTGAGTAACATATTTCAGTATTATTATACATGTGTAATTATGTCTTTCCTTGGTAAATTAAAAAAGTATCTCAAGGAGTCCCCGGCTTCGTGCAATGTATAACGCTGGTTTGTATCCCGTGTAATACTGTACGAGACTTGAGACGTCACATACCATCAACTCAAATAATCATTTATATTATACAAATGGAAATACACCAACTTCTTCCTATTTTTTTTCACGAGAAAATGTTATATTCTTAATAATATAGGGCCATGTGACCATGCAATATGATAGACTCTTTCGTGTGTCGAGGTGTACGACAGGGATATTCAACCGGTGAGGCCATAGAATGTCGATAAACCTGATGTTTTTAAATATTTCATTCTTCATCTCCCATCCCACCCAGAAAATTAAAACAAAACACAAACAGTCATTGCAAATGACTTTTTATCCACATGTGTGAATACGTCGTATCGGGCGATGATGACAATTGGGAAGGGACACGTCACTGTGTTGCGCGCGTGTAATACATGACCAGCGAACTCATGGTTATTGCCCTAGACAGACCAGTGTTACACAGGTAGAAATGAGACAAGTTGCATTACACCAAGTTTTTTCAGTAATGGGTACGTCAGAAAGGACGTCACGTGATATTTCAAAAGTTTGTTGGTTATTGACTTATTGATTATCTCCCGCTACGGCATTTTTTCCATAAATGTTTTATATAACAGTTATTATACAAGTGTGTTTTCATGGCACAATAAAGATATATTTTGGTGTAACTAGTTCGCCTTGTGTCATATTGCAGGATATATCTAAATGAGTGTGGATAAAGGAATATCTGGTCTCAAAAATAGGGATTTTCCGCTTCAATTATTTCCTTCTAATGCTCTAAGGAAAAGAAAAGGGAAACCACTTTTCACTCTGTATTTTCACTTATCTTTTTTAAGAATATACGTGTTGTTGTTCCGGTCTCGGAATCCGAGGATTGCCACTTTTTGGAACTTGACGATGAGGAAAATCAGGCTCCATCAATTGAGGAGGACACAGAGGGTGTGGCTGCTGTAAGACATATTTTATAAGGAATCGTTTTTGAAGTAAACGTTCTTACTTCACGTGGCTTTTTACATAATACACCTTCAGATAGAATTTACCTTCTACTAGGAAGACCTTAATAGATCATAATTGTAGTAAGACCTCACTCTAATCTTGCTGATGGAAGAATAAAGTTGTTGAGCGTTTTATTTGTTCTACTAGTTACTTCGTCAAAATAATTTTTACATAAGTTCTTCTTTACACTAAAAACCATTGAAATATATATCTTTTCTTGTAAATGAAAATGTACATGTATCGTAGATAAACAAAGTGTATGTTATTACAGACCATGGAATCTGCAGTGTCTGAAAACGTAAACGCCACTGATGAGAGAGCTTGCTTGTATAAAGAGGATGATCTAGCGATGACAGAGGAGTTGAAGACTGCACTAACTTCAGTGTGTGGACCCCGGAAGATACGTCACCTGACCAGGAAAGACGAGTGTCTAAACGTTCCCCAGGACGAGGATCAAGGTAAATACAAACGGAACGCAAAAGACCTTTTAAGGAAGAAAAAGTGTGTGTTTGTGTGTGTGTGAAGGGCGGTTGGGGGGGGGGTGTGTTGGTTCTGTATGCGGCTGACTGACGACTTACTTTTCAAATAAGTAATAAATTAAAAAGAAATAATAACCACGTTCTTCAATTAACTGTACAGTGAATTGTTTAATAACGTCTCCTTCTTTTCCAGTCGAAGACTCGGAAGAGACCGGATCTGACGTACTTGTTCGCCGAAAGAGATTTTGGGGATGGTGCCGCTATCGATGCTATTGGATCGCTCGTATAGTGAGAAGTTGCCGGTACAAGAAAACGTGCATCTTCTTTTTTTGTTGGAGAAGGAAGGTTTGTGTCACTTCCATACATTACAGGAAGCAATGTGGAAGATTTTGCTGATGCAAAGACGAGCCGAATTAACAAACAGCGATTAAGAAAAAAATACGAATATTTTAATTGATTTTAATTTTTTTTTTAATTTTTCAAAATATATTTTGTTTTTTTTCCCGCACAAGAATCAACTATTCTGTTAAATATGCACTTTTAAAAACGATCTTAACATCAGTTATTTCAGAGCAGTTCACTTTTTCGATGTGGGCTCGAACCTCTCTGAGCTGGAGTACTAGATTTATTTTTGTCTTAAGACAAATTCCAATGTAAGATCTATAATTGATACAGATGTAAAAGTTTGTGAATTGTTTTCTGAAAATGCATTTAAGTTCAATTTTTGGCAGTATAAAGTGAAATATAAATATTATTTACAACAATCTGTCTCCAGTCACACGTGATTGTAACTTTCGGGTTTTAAAGATTCTATTTAGAAAACAATATCAGTAGTCAGGTTCAAACTGTCTTCGTATTTAAGATTGCTAATGTCCAGCTAAATTTTCCCTTTACAGCATAATTGCAGTTCAATTTCATAATTTGCACTATTTCTGTATAATTTGTTTCTGAAATTAATTTTCTTTCCTTTTTCATCAAGTTTTATAGACGGAGTACATTGTAGAATTAAGAACTTATTGAATTTCTTGAATAAATGGGAGACATCACTTCGCTTTTGTTTTTAATTGAATTTGAAGATAAACAGCGATGCGTTATCATAAAAATTCGGATAAAACAGGAATTTTTGCTTCTACCCGGGAGGTGAAAAATAGCATCCATTTACAATTATTGCAGTATTCCAAAATTATTGTACAACTTAACTAAAGCACTAAAAGTCTTAAATTAACAATTATATTGTTAATTGTTATCCATGGAAAAAGTAAGATAATTGATTGTATCATACTTGTATAATAATTGAAAACAAAATATGAATTCTAGTAAATGTTTACATTTTTATAGAAAAGTCCGCAAACTAACTAACCTTTTTCATTTTCCTGCAAAAAATGTTCGTCAAGAAATCGTGAATTTTGAATAACATGAGGCAATATCATTGGAAACATGGAAAAATCATGACAAAATTACTTAAATATGACAATTAAAAAATAATAAATCTGAAATGCAAGTATACTTTCATTACAAATAGATATTGCATATCATTGGTTGAGCATGGCACTGCATGTGCATTTATACCAATACAAATAATAGATGCATCATCATGATTAAATAGTTATCCATATGAAAATCGTGTTTTGCAATTACAATATGTTTTAGGACCAAGCATGGAAACCTGTACAAGACTAAGTTATGTTTTAATTTTTTCATAATCACCAAATAATAAAGGTATACAGAATTAAAGTTCCATATTTGAATAGAAGATTGAAAAGTAGAAATATTCTCAAAAATGTCTGCACTACTGAAGACTTGACCAAAGAGGAAGAAAAAACATCGTTGGGACTGGATGTTTCTTGTAACGATATTTGTTACTTTTTTTGAGAGGTCATCTTTGATCCAGAAGAACAATATATAAGCAGGAAAGATGAGGAAAATGGTAATGGTTGCTTGTTGAAAGATAGGGTACATCATTGGGTGAAAACCGACAAATACGAGAGATGTTGAACAAGTTGATAAAGTGAAATTGCATTGGCTTGATAGTGATAAATAGATGTCACTTACGATCTGAATGTGTCTGTAAATATTCAAGGGAACACCAAACGCGAGAAAACATTCAAGCAGATTCAATTTGTAGGATGAACTAGCAGTAAAACGTGGTTGTTTTAATAATGTTGACAAATTGTCTTCTGAGTTTACTAATAGGGTTTGAAATATGGACACACTGAATATTTGTATATTCATTTCATCTGTGTATTCCTTACGATAGTCTTTATTACTCTGTATCTGATGTTAATTGATCTTATTTAATATTATTATTACTTATTTAATAAGATCAATTTTTTGAGGTTTATTTGCACTCTTTTGATTGGTTGTTTGGTAAATTAGAATGTATTAGATTGTAAAATGCCATGACAACCGAGGCATATATATCCTTCACCAGAAAACAGAAAACTTGGAAAAGTGTAAATCATTTTGATATTTCGTTCACTTTAGTTCTTATATAAAAGGGTGAAAGCTAAAATATTTTACTTAAAAAGAGTGTGATTCCCGCAGCACAGCTACAACACAACACGTGTATTAATGGCGTACAACAAGAACAACCGTTTTTATTACCCAAGATAACAAAAGAGTTCCAAACCAGGAACGATAACTCAAATGGACATATAAATTTAGGTTTCAACACATAGTTATTAAAGTTCACATATCAACAAAGAGGAAGGACTTAAATGCTAATACATAAGAGGAGAAAACATACCAGAATATTTCGACCAAAGATAGAAATAATTTCCATGAAATATAAGTACCGCGACTGCATTCCACCGGAAAAATGTGTGTATAGTATCACAGTAACCTCCCATCAGAAAATGTATATATAGTACCACAGATACCTCCCATCAGGAAATGTATATATAGTACCACAGTTACCGCCCATCAGAAAATGTAAATATAGTACCACAGTTACCTCCCATCAGGAAATGTAAATATAGTACCACAGTTACCTCCCATCAGGAAATGTATATATAGTACCACAGTTACCTCCCATCAGGAAATGTATATTTAGTACCACAGATACCTCCCATCAGGAAATGTATATATAGTACCACAGTTACCTCCCATCAGGAAATGTATATATAGTACCACAGATACCTCCCATCAGGAAATGTATATATAGTACCACAGTTACCTCCCATCAGAAAATGTATATATAGTACCACAGTTACCGCCCATCAGAAAATGTATATATAGTACCACAGTTACCTCCCATCAGGAAATGTATATATAGTACCACAGATACCTCCCATCAGGAAATGTAAATATGGTTATATAGTTACCCCCTCCCCCTCCCATTCCATCAGAAGGATTAGTCATTTTCAAACATAGATACTGAAGATTAAATACAACAAAATTGCGTTCAACTCAGATAACAATGGTTTTATAAAATGAAACTCCATTAAACGAAATGCATGATTGAATGCATGGATTATAAGGATAGAGCATATCTATACTTTTTTGCAAATGTGTCTTATTTGTCTGTAATAGTTTATAAACAGGGCCACTCCCATGGGATGTTTTTGTCTTTCAAATCAAAACGAAAGTCAAAACAACGCGGGTGGTTTATATAACAGAAGGTTATTCGTTGCTAGATTGTCAACCGTGAAAACATTTTCTGGATTAATCGATTTAATTTCAACATTATTATATTGCCTTGTACGTATACAAATAGGTGAAACTACATGGTTCTGTAATCAATTGTCGGTCAGTCAAGCTATGCACATACCAATCTCTCTTCCTCTAGCTGTTAATGAGAAAACACCAATAACTCATATACAAATTAATTTTATGATACTACTTAGGATCGCTATTGACAAATAACATAGCTTATCGATATTACAAGGAGCAAAATTTTGGTGTGTTCTATTTTTTGTACATAATTAGATGGTGCTGTGGTAGTTTTGTCCATATCAATCGAACGGTTTTGAAAATGTAGCTCGGAAAAGTTTCTCGGACACCAGGAGCCCAATTTAATATCCTCCGCACAAATAACACTATAGACCATTTCTAGGTTTCCGATATTTGGATAGGTTCAATGTAATGATAAAATCATTAAAATGAAGTATGTTCATTCCCCTTAAAACGTTCTCCTCAACATCCTGCCCTAAATGTTTATTCATCGGTTTTAATGATGATTGGAATTATTAACACTTCACGATAAAGTTCTCAGACATTCCAATGAACCCCATTTCATATTCGTTCACAACAATAGCATTGACCACATCCCGGTGCTAGTGAATTGTATCCTCCGGTAAATCGACGGTTAATAATTCCATGCTCTTCACAAACTACAACAGGATCGTAAGAAGCGAAGTTTTGATAATCATTTCCAGTCCAGCGACTGCATTTCCATGCATCTGAAATCGATGATAATAGGATAGTAAACATACTTTTGTTTCACGATTGAACAATAAAGAACTGTTTCTCAACTCGACGCATTCTCAAAAGTTTGTTTCTAGGTCTCCCCATCATAATTATCCTTCCGTTGGACCGGTTTGATAGACAATATCGGTAGACAAAACATTTTATACAGGAGAGAGATCTTCACTTTAGCATCTCTTCTTTGAAATTGTCTTTAAAATGTTATGTAGGCACAAATATCACAGAAGGCGGGATTACTGACAAAAGAATGTTTTTGCCTTTTTTGAATGCAGGAATAAACTGGACATCCTTTTAAAGTGCGATGAAGAAAGCAGGTTTGAAGGAGAACAACAGTAAATTTTCGGAGAATGATAACTAAAACAACAAGAGAGCTCCGCCAAATCAGGGAAGTCTTAATCCAAACTATAAATCGATGATAGCACGCAAATCACCTTATTTTTCTACGGAGACAAAAAACCACAAGGAGTTTACACAAGTACTTCAGAAGGGTAAACGTCTTCTGGTCCTTCGACTACACTCACCAAAATATTGATAGAAATCAGACATTCCGTATATGACATAAGTGATTTTTTGGGTTTTATGTTGATAATAAATCTCGTATTGTATTGTATTTTGAATATAAATAAATTGTCATCCAACTTGTCTTTGATCCATAAATCGGAACCAATAATTATTTGATGATAAAAATGACAACAGTAACTCGAGCAAAACAATATAAACTAGTATCAAAACATGTTATATTGATATATCAGGATGGAAGCATAGAGGTTCGAGCAAACTTTCATGATACCTACCTTTGCAATAAAATGATGTAGTTGTCCAATTTCTGGTCTCTAGACACGTGATTTCCGGCGAGCCCTGTGG